CCTCTCCAGCTACCAGACCACACTCCATATTGTGGTCTGTTGGACTTGAACCTCCAGTTCCCAAGCCAAGTCCCTACACACTGAGCTACTGCCGCCTATTTCACTACACAGGCTGCGTAGATATGATGTAAGGTTTAAAAGCTTCAAAATGTTGTATTCTTTAAAAAGAGAAATATCTACAAATATTACTCAGAACATTGTACTATTGAAAAAGTACTAATGACATCTGGCTTGAATAGTGTTGAAATATGACTGCATTATTGTAATTGCCAGAGGTGATAAAGTGTGATGAGCTGGAATACTGTTCAATGATGCAGTATGTTGATGACTGTCCAAGAACAAATTACTTGTTGAAATCCTGAAGCTTTTCAAAAGCTTTAAACACTCCTTTTACTTTAGGAAATGCACAAAACATCATTGATGTAAATACCACAGGAAATAAAAATTTTCAGCTGCTAAATACAGTCAAAATATATATGCAAAGCTTAGAAATAAAGCATGAGAAAAGAGTCACCACAACTGCAAATCAACATTTTGTTTATGGATGATGATTTTGGTGGACTATGAGTGAGAAAGTTCTCAGTTGTTGCTCAAGACATGATGCATGGCTGCAGACAGATACAGTGTTAAAGAGTCAGTTCTGTCAGTCTGTCCTCAGCAGAGTAAGGCTGATATGAAGATCGTCATAAGAATGTCATTCAGTATGGAGCTTGCTCAGGGGACACTACGACTCACTAACACTTTCGATATCATTAGTAACATCTCCAATGTTCTTCAGCCTGTAAAAACAGGCATATAATGTCTTCTGCAGCTCTGAAGGAGCTTTGTCACGTGATGATGTCATAGTGATGTCATCAGGTACATTTCGGGATTGGACTTGAATTTTGAGGTGGAAAGAGGTACTAGACAGTGTCTGTGTACTAGGCAGATGATGTTTAATAAAACTCTACCCAGTTGCATTATGGCAAGTGTACAGTAGGATCATCATCTTTATTAGTCATTTCTACTAGTATAGTTGTTACTGTTGCTATTGTTGTTGCTGTGCATCTTTGTCTCTCACACCACGTAGTATATAGACACAGTCTATGTAAAAACCACATTCTCTGGAGGATTCAAGAACACACCCAGTCAGTCAACATGAGTATTCCAAGTTAAAGCACTATCAACGTGTGCACCAAGATACTTACAGGACTAAACTTGTGGAATACTACTTGACTTTTTGATTTTTATTCCTTTAGAATAAAGCACATTGTTATTTCTGTAAATTCCTATACTTAGATGATACTACACTAATGAAAACATACCTATGAATATTATATTTTTGCCAACAGATCCTCCTAAATGTTACACACTGGACCTTTAGGTTGTAAAAAATCTGAATGTGTTGCATTACATGCTGATTTAAGTGGTGCTCCTAAAATTTTCAGTAGGGAGCAGAACCCTGAAAGTACAATACTAGATCACTGGAGTGGTCGTTTTATATTGCTACTACTATTACTACAACTCCAAGAATTACCACAACTTCAGTTACAACTGCTGCTAGTATTATTCCTCTCTCTACCACTAGTAGTTTGACTATAACTAATTCTAATGCTCACAGTGAAGGTTTCTTTAATACATTTAACATAATTTAAAATATCTTTATTGATCAAAAGTAGATTCTTAAAAAGTGAATACCCTTATGAGAACAAAAATGTCTGTTTTGACATTCCGTCATGTTGGATAGGGTACTGTGATCATATGACAAAACAAAGGTTTAAATGTATTCAGAGACAGTAGTGCTAATCCAGTCCTGCCAGGGCCCCATTGGTGCAGCCAACCCTATGCAGCGTGTGCACAGTCAGGAGGCACAACATGTAGAATAGCAATGATCCCTGTGTGTTGGTATGCAGAGCGGTGTACAGCAGTAAGGAGGGCAGGCAAAAAAAGAACAGCATTTCTAAATGTAAACGGTAATCATTCACAGCAGAAGTTCTTTATAAGCTTGACACGACTCTTCCTGGTTGAGCTGCAGCACAGCAACAACTCTCTCTGAGACAAGACAATTCACCCTCCCTGAGTCCCGCCCCTTTAGGAAGCTCAGTCAGCTTCTTTCCTGTACATACATATGCTAGGCTAAATCACATCTTAAGATCTGGATACATTTTAAAGATCTAGATTAGCTAGTTAGTTCATGTTTTGCTAACATAAGATAATCTAGATCAATTGTTTAATGTAATTAGCTAGCTAACGATTAATGTAAATTAGTTAGTAGCTCTGTCGCAGATTAGCTAACAAACTAGCAAGCATTACAAAGCTAACTTAACTTTAACAATTTTCAAAATGTGGTCACATCTTAGATTAGCTAATGTTAGCAAAACGCTAACTAACTAGCTAATCTAGATCTAGCTAACGATTAATGTAGATTAGTTAGCTAGTAGTTAGCTAGCATTATGCTCTGCCGCAGACTAGCTAACAAGCTAGCTAGCATTACATAGCTAACTCAACTTTAACCATTTTCAAAATGTGGTTGTTTTTTTTAACATAGACTGAGGAAAGGAAAAAATTGACAGAGGTTCTGACCGAGGCTTGCTCAACTGTTATTGGAGCACAGAGCAAAAGGGGTGGGACTTGGGAAGAGTCAGTTCTGCCCAAAATCTCCACGCCATCTGCTGCATTTCATTCTTTACACCAATAACACTGAGAAAGAGCAGAGAGGTTGTCCTTTAATCTCATTTTCTATAGGAACAGGAATGTTATCCAACCTTGTACATTTACATGTATTCATTCAGCTTTTTTGTCCAAAGTTCACTCCAAGCCACAGTAGATCAAAGAGAAGCCTTTGAGAATTCTTGCCTCAACACAAAGTGTAGATGCATGCACTAAGGCAGAAGTGTGGACGCAATGAGAGGTTGTGTTTTTATTTTAGAGAGGGAGTGAGAGATGGATGAATAGATAAGAGAGGGAGAAGGAAATATGTCTTCAACCGATTTTTGAAACAGGGAGGGATTCTTCTGGCTGAATTAAGTTGTTTTTCTCA